CTGGATAATGCAGTTTCGATACGACGTGATCACCATACAGAACTCATCCAAGTCTACCAGTATAGGACCATCTCAAAGAAGCGAGTGCATTGGAAAATGGAAGACAATAAAAATAACGTGGTAATAATCCAATTGTGTTTGCCGAAGAATTTTCCATTATCTAGATTGCAATAAGATCGGTAACCGATGCTCGGTTAGAGTGAAACTGAAATTCTTTATTTTGAAGAATGCGATTTCTTCTGACATATCCTTTGTTTAGTTAGTTACATTTGAAATGTTTCAGGGTGGACAATTACGATAAAAGGTTTGTGTTCAATCATACGAGTAAGTAACGATATTTTTACAAACGAAATATTTTTTAAAGTACCTACTAAGTAACACAATTTCAATTCAGTTTGTTTGACTGAAACGTATAAGCACTTACAGTGAATAAGCACTTACAGGGCAGATATGTACCATCCTAGACTGCATCCCACTTAACATCAGGTGCGATTGTGGTCAAATACCTGCCTTGTTATGCATAAAAAAAAAAACACATGAGATAAAAAACCGGCGGCCGGAGGCTTCAGCAGTGAAAGGGACATTCTGAAAAAAGAATACGAAACTCACTATTAAAATACCGGCTTGGTAAAATAATGAACGGCTTTGCAATGCTTTTGTTCGCGATAGCTTGCGTGTGTTAAGGAGTCCACACACTAGTGCCTGTTGCACCATCTTACTTAAACAAACGTCAAAAATCTGTCAAAATCCATGCACAACACCCAGGTTAACGTTAAGGGATTAAAGTTAGGTGGTGCAACTCAACTCAGCTCGCCGAAAGCCCGGCGGTTTGATGTCGACGGTTTTATTTCAGAAGAATCATGTCTACTTTCTACGACTTTGTCAACATGTCAAAAGTCGACTATTCATATCAGCGGATCGGCGGGTTTGGCTAAGGCCCAGAACAGACGGTGAAACGCAACTGCAACGAAACTGCAACTTTCTGATGATTCTTATGAATGAAACTGAAACTGAAAGTTTCAAACTGGTCGCGTCATGTGTGGTCTCTCAACGGACGCTATGGCAGAAACTTAGATGCAACTCAAAAGTAATTAGCAGTTGCAGTTTCGTTGCAGTTGCGTTTCACCGTCAGTTCTGGGCCTAAGATGACTGTATTAAATTACAAGAGACGAAAGTCGTTATACGACTGTCATTTTGATCATAAATTGAATTTCAAATTCAATACCTACTTTTGGCGATGGAGCGGGCCATGCTTGGAGTTTCCCTGCGTGATCGAATCAGAAATGAGGAGATCCGCAGGAGAACCAAAGTGACCGACATAGCTCGCAGAATTGCTAAAACCAAGTGGCAGTGGGCGGGGCACATAGCTCGTAGAGACGATGGCCGTTGGGGCAGAAAAGTTCTCGAGTGGCGACCGCGGGCTGGAAGACGTAGCGTGGGCAGGCCTCCTACTAGGTGGACCGACGATCTCGTAAAGGTCGCGGGAAGAGCCTGGATGCGGGCAGCGCAGGACCGTGCATTGTGGAAAACCTTGGAGGAGGCCTTTGTCCAGCAGTGGACGTCGTTTGGCTGAAGCGAACCTACTTTTACTAATAAGGTTTTGTCTGTTGCGAGAAGGTGTCTTTCACGAGACCTTAGACGTTATGAGGTCATACTATTACTAGGTAATATGACTTCAGGCAATCTAAAATATATTACATTCGTCCACCTTTACAGTCCAGTCTCAACCGATCTTTTGAGATATGGGTGAAAACGTCAAATGTAATCAACAAAAAAACCGCTTAAATCTGGGCAATAAAGTAAATTCTGATATTTTAGTAGAATACTACGGATAAAGTTGTAAAGACAGATCGTATACTGTGTTACTTACCTTTAAAAGTCCAGTTATCATGCATGTCTGCCATTTCGTTTGTGCTGACTTGACACTGACGAGTCTCGGATTTCACTGGATTTCACCGATGGGAATTCAGAATTTTGTGTGGATAACGATGCAGCAAGGTACCTATTGCATTAGTCTGATGTTGACTATAATACATTTCAATGTTTTTCAGGATTTCAGGATATAATTCCATTTCCACCAGGGTCGTTCTTCGTGATCTGAAGGACTGGTTGTTCTCTGGGTCTGATGACATGCTCTCATACAACTCCTGGGTGGGTCCCTGGGCTTCCAAACAGGTGGATATGATCTTGGATAGCAGCAGAGTACGCTCGTCGGTCTCAAGAGATGGGTCTGAGAGTTGTCTGTGAGCTTGAGTTATTATCTTTATGTAGGATTATGATTGATTTTATCTGTTGGTATTGCTTACCTACCTTTAGATTTTTGTTCTTGAGTCTGACACCAGATATTGTAGAACAAAGTTTTTTAAACATTCCTATTCCTTTAGAATAAAAGTTTTTTCACTATTAGATGAGTCAGTTTTACTGACTTAGAATGACGTGGTTGGTGGAACTAGATCGCCTGACTTGCCTTAAATTTATTTCGTGGGTAATTCTTTAGATGCTAGATGTAATGAGTTCCTTACATTTGTACCGGCCATAAAGCGAAGCAATCAAACAGATTGATGGGCTGTAAAACCAAGTCAATAAAGATCAAATCTTTTAAACATCAATTGCTGTTTCCGCCCTTTGTAGGTAGTCGTCGAACTTTATAATGACTTGTGGATCACCCTCCATTTTTGAGATCGGAGGACTAAAATAGACGGCCTCTAAGAGTATTTTTGGTTCGCACTCACAAATAGTCCAGTTTTTTAGGGTTCCGTACCTCAAAAGGAAAAAACGGAACCCTTATAGGATCACTTTGTTGTCCGTCTGTCCGTCCGTCTGTCAAGACCCTTTTTCTCAGGAACGCGTGGAGGTATGAAGCTGAAATTTATATCAATTACTCAGGTCTACTGTCCCTTGAAGCTGTGAAAAAATCAAACTTCTAAGCCAACTACAAAAACCATAAATTTTTAGTTACGTCACATAATATATATTTTTTTAATAATTTTAAACTTACTACCCATTTCCTCATAAACGCGTAGAGGTATTAAATTGAAATTCAGACCAAATACTCAGGTCTATAATACCTTTAAGCTGTAACAAAATCAAACTTCTATGTCAACGCAATCAAAAGAAACAGCAATTTAAGCTGCATATTTTGAAACTCGCAAGTACTCGCAAGGGAATCAAAACCTAAAGGGTACTTCCAGTCGACCTAGAATCTTGAAATTTGGCATGAAGCAACGTTTTATAGCACACATAAAGGAAAAATTTCGAAACCCTTAAATTTTTAGTTACATTACAAAATATGTATATTTTTAATAAACATAAACTTATTACTTTTTTCCTCAATTTCATTTTGCAATAAAAATACCATAGTTATGACTCGATTGTCGTAATGAACGAACTTTGTAAACCTTGCAGGTTTGTACGGAACCCTCGGTGCGCGAGTCCGACTCGCACTTGGCCGGTTTTTTTGCAAGTAAGTAGGTTCTGTTGACCCAGATTTAATTTCGACAATCTTGTCTTAGGTAAAGTCGACACGTCAGATTTTTTTATTTTTATTGGAAAATAGCACCCTTATACAACCACAGTTGCTATAGTGTACCTACCATCCTAATTAGGAAGATTGTTGTGGATATGTCATATTGCTGAAATGTAAAACCTCTAATCCAGGAACGTGTTAATAATGATTTGACACGTTGAATGAGTTTACACTCGAAGTCAGAATTTCAAAATTAAAACGTCATTCAAAACTCGGTTTAATTTCATTAATATAAAGTACATAGTTCAAGTTCCAATATTTGGAACTTGAGTTTCGGTTCGAAAGTTCATCCCTTTGGAGATTAAAAAGGGGGTGAAAGTTTTGATCGTCAATGAGGGTTTTCGCGAATGAAAAATCCGCCAGATGGCAATACGTAGACGAGAGGTCCAAATGCTGCATGATTGGTTATTTTTGACATGATATTGACAGATATGTCAAAATCCACCAATCACGCAGCAGTCAGACCTCACATCCACGTCCTGCCATCTAGCGGATCTTTCATTCGCGAAAACCCTCATTTCATCAAGATATTTAAAAAAATAGGGTCTTTAAATTAAATAAAACGGCTAATATTTGTATGATCACGGTTTTTATTTTAAAGTAGGCAAATGTACATTTGACTTTAAATAACACAGAGATATTGGCTGTACAATATTTTATAATAAGATTTAGTATATTATGTAATAGTCTGTCAATTACTACTATAGTCATATTTACATTCATAGAAATAAATATTGAAGATAATTTTAAATGGCATAGCATTGAAGACTATAGTTATATAGTTTTTAATCCCCCCATAAACCATAAAGGGTATTTTATTTACTGTGTTTGCGCTTACGCTGGTCAGTCGATACATACTTGCAAAGCTTATGAGGCTACAATATTTACAACACATAAATATAATGAGTTTATTCAATAAACATCTTTTCATGGACTTTATTAATGATAGCCTAAGTATTTGTGTTATTTATATACATTTATATAAACGAGTATGTCCCATTAAAAATTACAAGTGAATATACATCAGCATTCGTCGTACCGTTGACCAATTATAAAAGCGAATTTTTACAGAATTTCCCAATCAAGGTCAAATTAATTTGTTCAAATTTTTATCTACATCTAATAAAATTTGTATACTACACAAATACCTAATAAATATCTTTCTAAAAGGTCAATTTCTAAATTTAAGATATGCTATTATAATTTTATATTACAAATAGCGCTTTGTTTCCCGATTTTGTGTCTTAAAACTACGTTAAATCTAATAATAACAAATAGAAATAATCATCCTGCCGGTAAATTACAATACGAATGCTATTCACAAGTTATTATTTAATGTATTGAATACAAAACTTAATATCCTACAGAAAAAAGAAAATGCATTAACTTTATGTACATTCCTTGAAACTATACACAATATTGGTTCGTTAGTATTATTTACAATTGATAACCTACTTGATGAGATGAAAATGTATTTAATATTTTGGTGAATCATTTAGATACTTAGTGTTATATGGAGGTATATACCCAAGGTTGGAGGTATGGAGGTTACCCAATTCACACCACTGAGAATTCGCATAGCTGAATTATGTTACTGGTAGGCTAGGGGCTAGACAAGATAGAGTTTTTATCCTAGAACTTTTTAGCCTGAACGGCCATCATTATGGCACACTTTTTTTAGCTTTTAGATCTATTAAATACATTTAACTTATGGCTAAGTTTTTATATTAGGTAATTACTGAGCTAAAATATTACAGAGAATATGTTAACGAATAAAAAATACACAATACGTCGTTGCATAACAATGAACTAAGTACTTAATCTTAATTTTATACATCAATTCAAAATTACTTTTAACCATCGATAGCAATGTAATTATGTATTTACATATAAAGTGAAAATTGCAGTTTATAAATGAGTTTAAGATCTATTAAATGCATTAATCGAACAAGTTAGAACCGACGTCAGTCCGGTTTGCAAAAGGTCCGTTAGATTTCGCATCACTAGTGTTCGCTTGATTTTTGGGGACTGTGATCACGGGGATGTTGGGGTCATTTGAGGCAGGGAAGGCGGGGGAGGCGGGGGTCGCTTCGAGGGGCGCGTCCTCCTCAGGAAGGGTGCGCAGGCGAGAGAGCCTCCCCCGCCCCCCGCCTCACACCGGCGACTGGTCTCCGCTCGCACTCCCGCTTGTGATGTAATCCTGCGCATGTTACAACTATTAAAGCCCGGTCTGTGAGCACGTAGAATTTTGTCCAATGACCCCAAGCTACCCATCCTTATCGCTCGCGCGTAATTATTATTGCTGTCGCGACTGTGCGACGGGCGCCCGCTGTGAGTGTGCGAGCGCGACAGCAACATAATTACGCGCGAGAGATAAGGATGGGTAGCTTGGGGTCATTGGACATAATTCTACGTGCTCGCAGACCAGACTATAGCTGTATAAAGGTAACCAATTACACTCTTATATGACCAAGTTACAGCATAAACATTTCTAGAAGAATTGGTAGTAGGTAGGTAAAAATTAAACAAGATCATCTCATGCACAGATATTTGCTATGCCGCATATATTAACTGAAATGAAGAGGTAGGGTTTGCGAACGAAACGGAGAATAATTAAAATAATGAATCTGTATCATTGTAATACTTAATTTCTGATTGTTCTTTGTTATGCGGTAATTGGGATGAAACTAACGTTAATCTGAGCGAATTATTTCTAGAATAGTGGTGTGCGTATGAATGAGTCTATCAAAAGTAACGTCCCATTCAAGGATGGCTCTTTAGTTGACATAACCCGTACATAATTAATCACACTAAGTAAAACTTTTTAAGCTAACACTAAAAGCATATTAATATTTCATTCTCCGCTCCGTTCCACACAGTATATCGTCAGTTGCAGGTTCACTTGGGGTAACTGACAAAATACGGTTTTTGAGTTAAATATACAGTTTTTCTTAGTTTTTTCTGCTCTTTCGAATGGTATACTTAAAAAAATTCTAGCTTTAAAAAAAATACAATTACACGGACATTTTCAGGTGTGAACTTTTCAGATTTCCTTCATAATTTTGGTGTAACTGACATTGTAATAATTTTACCAGGTTGAATTGGTGTATCTGTAATAATGTAAAAATTTTGCTACAAAACTTTGCAATTACACTGATTTGCTAAGGTTTATAACATGAAATAAAATAGGAATTTAGAAAGTTTTAAGGCATATAACATTATTATTATACCAGCAGTATCAGTTAAAGAAGTTAAAGTGAGCTCAACAAAAAAAATAATTGAAATTGAGCAACTATCCAGCCAACTAGGCGTCACTGCGCGTTGCTAACATTAACCTGTTGTTACTCTGTTACTTTTAGTGTTGTAGTACTCATGACCTTAATTCAACATTGCTATAAAGAGGTGGGAAATTAAATCCATTTTGTTTACAGTTTAAGTTGCCCCGTAGAGCTAAATACGGTATTGGTAAGTCAAAGCTTAAAAAAATATTGAAATTACTTAGTTTCACAGTAATACTTTAGTTATTTCAATATTTCTGTCTTAAAAAAATTAAATACACATATTTTCTTGATTCCCATGGCTTTTTTAACATTTTTTAATGAATAAAATAAAAGTTACTTCTAATAAATAAAAAAAAAAACAAAGAAAACGACAAAATGTTATTTTTTTCATGAATTCTCTTATTTTTTAATACTTTTACATAAATTATACAGCAACTAAGTAAACAAAACCCAGCAAAAACATCAAATTATTTTAATTTGGGCAGTACTTACACCAATTTGACCTATGTTTTTTCCAAAAGTATGGTGTAAAATTAGTGTAACTGTCAAAAGTACAAAAATACATTGGTGTAACTGCAATTTATTTCCTTAACTAAGACATATTAGATAATTCTTTTTATTTAATCTAAAACCGCGTAGAATTCTAAGCATTTCTGTAAAAACAGATCCAAAAAAGGTTAAATAGGAAAAAAGCTATGTCCGATTTAAGACGAAAAAAAACTTTAAACGGCTCTACTGAAAAACTGTATTTTGTCAGTTACCCCAAGTGAACCTGCAACTGACGATATTTTAAAACCTAAAGCCAACTCAATCGCCAAGATAATCTCTTGAGAAATAGAAGAGTAATGTAATAAGTTCGTAGAGCGTTGAAATGCAAACTCAAACTGAAGGAAACATTTAGTTAACGAAGCAGATTATTATATTACTTGATAATCACCTTTTGAGCTGCCGTGTAACTTACTCGTACTGAAAGTACAACAAATACTTTGATATTACATTAGCAGCACAAAGTTTGAGGTAGATACACTCAGCGGCACGGAATTTGGCCCAAGCCTAAACACCCAGATATGAGGCCAAATAGGTGTTGTATACCTAAGTTTCGTGTGACATGTTAACAGAACATTTGTTTTTGTTAATTTATGAGGCTAGATTTATAAAAAAATGCGTCTGTTTAACTTTTTAGACTCTAAAAACGCATTTCGTTGTTGGAGCGTAAAGAGTACGGGTAAGTTTAAATTCGATATTAAATGTTGAAAGGGCTTGGCGTTTAGTTTTTTGTTTTTAAATTAATCTTAGGGTTGTTCTCGTTTCCATAATTTGAGAATAATGTCCATTACTCCAGCTCAAGTTGCTCAAATAGTGTTGCTTAGAAGTCAAGGGCGTATGCAGCGGGAGATGGCTGAAACTTTCAATTTATGGCGTACAAACTTAAGATATACGTTAAAAAGGCATGACCAGACCGCCTTTTACACAAGAAGACCAAGAAGTGTGGAATTAAGGTGTATGTCAGCGCGCGATGACCCAATTATCGTGCTTGCAATATCAAGAAATCGGGTTCTCAGTACGTTTGAGATACGCCAGCGTTTACAAACAGTAAGCCCAGTGAATGTCAGTGAGCACACAATAAAAAGAAGGATGGAGGATCATAACCTGCATACTCGAAGACCAGCTCGAGGACCAGAACTTCTCCGATACCTTCGCGAAGTGCGACTTACGTTTTCTAGAGAACACATGCAAATTGGACGCAAGGCTAATAGAGTAAAGTTCTATGGATCAATGATTGCAGAGTTACCTTAAGAGCTCCAGACGGCCGTGGAAGTCTATAGAGAAGCAGCGGAGAAGAGTTACTACGCAAACAGACAGTTTTCATAAAGAGTTTACTCCATTAGTCTAACGTCCAATTTGCATGTTCTCTAGAAAACGTAAGTCGCACTTCGCGAAGGTATCGGAGAGGTTCTGGTCCTCGAGCTGGTCTTCGAGTATGCAGGTTATGGTCCTCCATCCTTCTTCTTATTGTGTGCTCACTGACATTCACTGGGCTTGCTGTTTGTAAATGCTGGCGTATCTCAAACGTAGTGAGAACCCGATTTCTTGATATTGCAAGCACGATAATTGGGTCATCGCGCGCTGACATACACCTTAATTCCACACTTCTTGGTCTTCTTGTGTAAAAGGCGGTCTGGTCATGCCTTTTTAACGTATATCTTAAGTTTGTACGCCATAAATTGAAAGTTTCAGCCATCTCCCGCTGCATACGCCCTTGACTTCTAAGCAACACTATTTGAGCAACTTGAGCTGGAGTAATGGACATTATTCTCAAATTATGGAAACGAGAACAACCCTAAGATTAATTTAAAAACAAAAAACTAAACGTCAAGCCCTTACAACATTTAATATCGAATTTAAACTTACCCGTACTCTTTACGCTCCAACAACGAAATGCGTTTTTAGAGTCTAAAAAGTTAAATAGATGCATTTTTTTTATAAATCTAGCCTCATAAATTAACAAAAACAAAAGTTCTGTTAACATGTCACACGAAACTTAGGTATACAACAGCTATTTGGCCTCATATCTGGGTGTTTAGGCTTGGGCCAAATTCCGTGCCGCTGAGTGTAGTTAACTACAGTTAACTTGCTCTCGGATCAAAGCCACTGAGAATGGAAGAGACCTGACCCGAATAGGGAAGGATTTCATCTTGTCTGTGTCATCAAATCTTTACACAAAAGGTGCCCCAAACTATGTACTTATTACCTTAAGAGACAGTGAGAGAAAAAAAAGAATATGATATCGATATGGAATGACTTTTTCATTTTCTTTTTTCTTTGCGTTAGTCTGTCCATTGGTGCTTATGATTAAATAGTCAACATAGTATTTATTTATAATCTTTATTGCACACAAAAAATGCGATACAAAAGGCGAAGTTAATGTTAAGCTAATGCCATGTGGCATTCTCTACCAGTTATAACCTTAAGGCTAAATAGAGAATTTGAGTAGGCTGTGCTAAATAGTATGTACGAGTACCTACATAAAGAAGCTTTACCTAACTGTAGCTAGTACTTATTGCATGGCTTATTTATTGTAATACAGTATGTATTGGGTAGGTATTGCATAGTTCACACGATACTCGCCGGCCCGCATGCCTCTGCACAGACAATAGAGCATCAATTGTTTCCGCCGCAGCGGTCGGTGGGTCAGCATCGTGGACCGAATCATTGTCTTAAATATTACTCGAATGAACTCGAAAAGCTTGGAGTTTGGCAATCTGAGGATCTATTTTATACATAGTAACATCTTAAAAGAATAAAGGATTTGAATTTGACTGAAGGCTATCATTGTGCATCGTTTAGATTCAGTTAGACGTGCTGACTTGATACCACCAATCAATTGACGTACTTTTTAAAACGGTCAATACGAGACTCTCCCATAGATTTTGTATGGCAATACAAGCAAGTGGCGTCACTACTTTGTCAACTCAATTAAACTACTTTTTATCTGACCTTCATCTCAATTATAATGCAACCAAAAATCCTAATTTATTTGATTTTAAAACCAGAATGAAGTGTCTTTTTATATAAAGTTGTGATTTCGAATTATTGGGGAATGGTGTCAAATCTATTGTGAAGTGTAACTCATCTTTCATCCACTTAAATTAGAGCTGTGCTATTCGGGAAAATTACCAGCGTTCCCGGAACGTGTCATGGAGTGTGTTTATTAAGAGTCCCGAAAATATTCCTGGAAAATTCTCATTGAGTGGGATATTGTATAACGCTATGAGCAATATACTCGTATCCCCATTTTCCAACCTGGGGAATAATTAGTTAATATTCCAGTTTATATCTTTATACGAACGTCGAGTCTTTTGTCATCGTAGTGCACGCTCGCTAGAATAATGTTTTGTATGCCTATATTTATTATTGTACATGGTTTAGATTAAGTTATGTTAGTAATAAATAGGTACTTTATACTACTGTTAATAATTAAATTAATTTAAAGAATTAATAACAATAAAACTAATAAAATTAGGGTGTGGAGATATTCTTGAGGATATCTTTTAAAGCCAGTCTGAAACGATGCGGGTTAGAATTGAAGATTTCGAGGTCAGAGAAGCGAGGACTGTAATCCTCGTAGAGTCGACATAATCTTGCCAGAGGCTGGTTAAGTGATGTTGTGTAAAAGGGGTAAGTTCAATATTTTTGTCATTGGTCTACGAGGATTGTGTATACAGGGTGTTAGGTAAATAAGTATATGAGCCGACACTAGCCCATGTTAACATGGTCATATAAATGGTATGGTGAAGTCAGAAAATTGATGTCTTCATTTTAATTATTTTAATTTTCATACTAATCGGATTTTATAAAAAATCATTTTGAATGAAAATTACAAAAATTAAAATGATCATATCAAATTTCTGACTTCACCATACCAATTATATGCCCATGTTAACATGGGCTAGTGTCGGCTCATATACTTATTTACCTAACACCCTGTATATTTTATGTGTTATAATTTATTATGTACCTATGTATCATCATCATCATTTCAGCCATAGGACGTCCACTGCTGAACATAGGCCTCCCCCAATGCTTTCCATGTTGATCGATTAGTAGCGGCCTATGTAAGTAATATAAATATTGTGTATTATAATAATGTATTTATTTATTATAAAAATATAATTTAAACATACCGCATGCAGATGCCGTCCATCATAGTGCAGCGCCAGCGAGGTCCTCGGCACCAGCAGCGTCGTGGTGGTGGTCTCCGACGCCGCCGACTCTCGCTTCGACGGGTGGCTGTACAACCTGACAGTGCTACCTAGTTAGCTTTGATAAGGATCTCATAGTATAGGTTCATATTCTTTACAATTAACACGAGAGGAAAACGCAAACATAGTAAATAGTAGGTAACGTTTATTCTGATGTTGATAAAAAATAATTACCTACCTCTTTGGGATTTACTACTAAATACTTATACTTTCCTTCGTGAACTTATTTGTTAGAATAGAAATGCGTGCATCATGATACGAGTTAATTAGGCAATCCATTATTTATGTTTGTGATTATGAATACCTCTCACCTAACATAAAAGGCCTGAATCTATTTTTTTTTTGATTTTTCAAATACTTTGACTCAAACGATTACCAGTTATTAGTTACAAATAATGTACCTAATAACTGGAAAAGAAAATTCCCTTCTATTTCATTTCAATTGACTTTTATTTTGAAAGAATATTACTAACGTCTGGCAGTTAGTGTAAATAAGGCAAAAAGCTATTCTTACGACCGACAGAGACGTGTGTGCTCGCGGATTACGCGAACCGACATGGCTTCAATATGTTCGAATCAAATAAACAAATAAAACCTTACTTGTGTTTTATTTGTTTACTAGCGGCCGCCCGCGACTTCGTACGCGTGGACCTCGTTTTACCCCCTTCATCTATGTATCTTACGCGGTTTAGATTTTTTCATACAATTTTTTTTCCCGCTAACTCCCGTTCCCGTGAGTTTTGCAATATCCTGTTGTAACTAAGCTTTAAATTTACTAAGGTACCTGCATGCCAAATTTCAAGCGTCTATCTTACGCGGTTTAGAGTTTTTCATACAAATGTTTTTTCCAGCTAACTCCCGTTCCCGTGGGAATTTTGCAAAATCCTGTTGTAACTAAGCTTTGAGTTTACTAAGGTACCTGCATGCCAAATTTCAAGCGTCTAACTTAAGCGGTTTAGATTTTTCATACAAAAGGATTTTCCCGCTAATTCCCGTTCCCATGGGCATTCTTAAGTATCCTATAACCTGCCCAGGAGTATGAAGAATAATTGTACCAAGTTTCGTTAAAATCCGTCGAGTAGTTTTTGTTTCTATAAGGAACATACAGACAGACAGACAGACAGACAGACAGACAGACAGACAGACAGACAAAAATTTTACTGATTGCATTTTTGGCATCAGTATCGATCACTAATCACCCCCTGATAGTTATTTTGAAAATATATTTCATGTACAGAATTGACCTCTCTACAGATTTATTATAAGTATAGATTTGACACGAAAAACTGAAATATGTAAGTATTTAACGAAGACTAAGGCCTAGTTGCACCACCTAACTTTAACGGTAACTATGACGATAACTGGTGCTTTTTGTATGGAGTTTGTCAGATTTTTTATGTTTGTCAAAGTTAAAGTTAGATGGTGCAATCCACCTACAGTTGCTTCAATAATTTTGATATTTGTGACATAACACTGTATTTTGTAGAGCTTAGGTACTTTTTGTGGGCATTGTTAGGCATTTTCATTCCCTTCAAACTATAGTAACAAAAGTATTTTTTGCAAAAACCTTTAGCTTTTTACTAGTAACTCTGCCTCGCCGCATTTGTAATTTGCGCGGCGGCAGCGAGAAAAATTGATGAGAGTCCCTCTCATCAATTTTTCTGTTTATGCTATTCCTGTTATTTGTGAACTTTTTTATGGGTCAAACTGAATCACAAAGTAAATACGAATGTAATTTTGGAAAACATTTCAAATATTTTCGCTGGAAAAAGGAAAAACGTGGACTGAAGTGATTAGTACAGATAACAGCGCGTCAAGCTAAACATCGAGGTATCTTATTTACTTGTAGTAGGTGCTATATTGCCACAAATACATATAGTTTAGTGTGCTGTCCATTGTATTTACGTAATATCGGTATTAAAGGTCATAGCACAAATATCAACTCGGAAAGGGATCAACACCGTATCGCCTTTTGTGATCTGTCATCGACTTTCGCGCTTTGTCAATTAGGGCTATCGTTTTTATACCTAACAGGACAGGACCTTACTCTACAGTGGCGCCATCCTGATGAGTGCAAATGCGATAGTCCTTCTACCACTTTAGCGCTCACAAGTTGGCGCCACTGTCTTCGCTACTAGCAAGTGACAGGACCTTACTCTACAGTGGCGCCAACTGGTGAGCGCTAAAACGATAGCCCTCATTGCGAGGCGTTTACTTTATGGTGTGAATAAGTGTACGTTGAAGTCCTATGGAGTTTCATACAAAGAATACTGATCGCCTCGAGTTGGATACAGTTACAATCCCTTTCTGGGTTGATAAATGTGCTACGGACCTAAATGTTAAATCGGAAAATAGACTGATTGACAGGTTTACAACCCGCTTCACGTCAGTTGTCAGTTGATGTAAATGAGACATACCCGACCCTTTAGTATCCATTTGTCAAGTTAGCGATTAAGCTAAGTAGGTACCGACTGAAACTAGAAATTGACAAATGACTGAGGTATCAAATTAATACGAATTAACAATACCATGCGCATAAAATAGGCATGCCAAAATGGTTATGTACTTGTGTTTGTAAAAAAGTTGTGAGTGTTATTTTGTCTTCTGTTTACAAAAATACCTACTAACTAGGAATAGGTACATTGTTCAGTATGCAGCAGTACCTACTGACATTTTTAGTTATTCTTCTAGTACATATCTAACTATTTATACTGAAAATAATCCAGTGCATAATAAGTATTTCTCCAAAGAGTTAATTCGTTTTTCTTATGACTCTGTCCATTTAAAATCATCCCGACACTCTACATTAAGGACTTTTAAATGTAAAATTAATTTTGTCTCTAAACCAGAGATTTGGTTATCTTAATTAAATGAAAACTCGTTAAAACAAGTGGAACAAGTTCTAAGTTCGAAAAAAGTTGTTAAATAAGCATGTAACACTACTTTTTAGTTCTTGAAAACTTAGAAACTAAAGCAAGAATGTATTAAAATTAGAATACGAGTAGTATTGTGGCTTTTCTTGAACAACGCGAACTTATACAAGTTTCAGCGAGTTGAAAATAAGCGTGTAGCAACAAAAGTTTCTCAATTATTATGCAAATTAGTTTGAAATAGGCTGTATGTTAAACTAGCAAATACTTTCTTAGTGTATGATAAATTTATGTCTGGGTAAATGTTGATAATATATTTCCGAGCAAAAGTATGAAATCACCCCGTTGTATTTTGTTCCGAGCGATCTTAAAAGAACTGAATGACGTATGTATTTATGAGATGATTCCATACTTTTGCTCGCGAGTGTTTTTTGTTCTCTAGTCTCTCAAATGATATAAATCCCAATAATATAAGTATAGACACGCAAAAAATAAGAGGTGATCTTTCAACACAAAATGAAAAGCGTGGTCGAAAAATAACAACCAGATAATAAAGCGGATTAAACATTCAATTTATTGGAAAATAACAAAATAAAAATACGTCCAAATCCACATTACATCCATTGATAAATTCTTCGTAAATGCAAAAGTCCGACCCGGCAAGCAAAGCTGCTACCCTTCCGGCTTCTTCAAACAGTGAGCCTAGTGGAAAAAATATACGGTCAAACATGGATTTGGAATAAAACTTTGACAGAAATGGTCTAAAATCACTGCTAAATCTACTTATACAGGGTGTGCTGAACAGCAATCATTTTTCAAAACGTTATTCCCAAAAAAAAAAAAACTGGATCTGTCAATTATTGCCTAGATAGGCAAAAGTTTAATACATATCACCTGCTTGCATTTTAAATTAATTAATATTTACTGTAAATTAATTGGAATAAATAAATGAGTATTGTGATAGCGTGATGCGGTTGCCCCTCATTATAATTAAATGGTTCACTAACAATTAGTTAATTTGTTCAAGATAAATTTTATTGAAATGTTTTAATTCATCATTATCATGATTTTATATTCGTTCGTTCGTTCGTTTCAGCCAAATGACGTCCACTGCTGGACAAAGGCCTCCCCCAAGGTTTTCCACAATGAATTTATATTAATTAAACTAAAAGTTACGCGAGGAAAATAGTTGTTATTTTCCATTTATGAGTAGAGGGACCGTGAACAAACCAAAAAATATCCGAGCAATATATAGTTTGCAAAACCGCAGATGAAAATGTGTTACAATTCGAATTTTATTTCATTGTTTGTGTTTGTATAAATTACAAATACAGCACGTCGAGTATAGGTAGTTTCTGTAAAAGTTTCCTCTTTGTTTTAGACCATTTTTGTTCAAAGCTCAGAAATAAAACAAGTTAGAAGCTTGCTAATAAAAGCTTTGTTTGTGTGGGGTATCGAATGGCGAACTAAAATTAAAATATGCCCAGTGAATTTTGAGAGTTCAGTATCTTTAAATAACTTACTCTACTTACTACTTAGGGCTTCTTTCATGATCTCCGAGTAAATTTAAGTAAGTGATTCCTATTTAGCAAGTAAAAGTAAGAAGTATTTTAGTATCAAAGTCAAGTCACTATGAGTTTCGTTGCTACTCGTGACTTAAACGAGTAGCCTACTTGAAACTTTACTCCAAGATGACGAACGAGGGCCTAAATGAAGTATCCAAGATCAATTTAATTTTATTTAACTCTAATCTTTTTGACCAATTAGGTAACTGGGATAGTGTCGATACCATGTCGCTACCCTGTTATCGAAATAACCAAAAACATTGCTTGATGCTTCAAGTAGAAGTGTGCAAAACTTTGCAATGACTATGTATTTCATAATTTCCTTTGAGAAAATGATAATTAACAATGAACGTCTCATGCAATTATTTCAATTAGTACGCTGGACAAAGCAAATAACGTGCAAATAGTACGTGAAAGAGAATTTGCATGCAGAAAGGAATAATTAAATAATGTAAATGAAACAAAAGACATTTTAATGTCGTAGGTATACTGAGTGTGGGTTACATAATTATCATATTCTCATAATGAGTTTTTAACCATATTCATAAAGGTTTTTATCCTAAAATACCTCGTGTTGCACTTGGAATCATAATTTTATCAAACTTGAAAGAAGATACATATTATAATTGACTTTTGAATACGTTTTTCAGGACATACACCTACACAAATAAAATACCTTGATTGCAGCTAGGGCTAACCACCATCGATAAGTCCTGGACCGTGGTTAGCAGTTTTTGGGGTAAGAGGCACCCTCCGCCGCCCCTGGCCAATGCTCTGTCCAGTGTTCCACCCCTTCACGCGGTATCACACCACGTGTTCATAAAGCAGTAGAATAGATATAATAATCTGTCTTTTTCTCACCTAATGCCCTCGGTCCTGGACCTTAGAGCAAGCACCCCTTTAGTCATTCCTAGACGATAGATAGTCTTCCACCAGTGCTTCTCGTAGTATCTGATCACTTTCTTACCTAATGCTTTCGGTCCTGGACCGCGGCGACCAGTCCTTGGAGTAGGAGGCGCCCCTCCGCCGCCCCCGGCCGATGGTCCGTCCAGTCTTCCACCGCTCTACATGGTACCGGATCGCATGCCGGACCTCCGTGTTCATGAAGCAGTAGAACAGCGCTACTGTGAAACCCTGGGAACAATGTGAGAGATGAATTTTGAATTTAGAAGTTACTTTTAAAATCGTAGACATAACAATTGACACGCGACATACCTAAATGTATTTTTGTTTCTAGAAGGAAAAAACAAAACACAGTCGACACGAGGCTAGACAAATTCAGACAGCATGTGGTCGCGGATGGGTTGTGGTCAGTACCTACTCTAATATGGTGATATGTGAATTATAAATAAACTAAAAAATTAACCAAAGCTTGCAGTAAAATAAAACTATCCTGACTGCAAGACACCTTAATATTTTTTAGTCTTCAGTAATATTTTCAGTGTCCTAGCTGCAACCCAGCATATCATTAAGGTGGAAAATATTCGTGCTTTCGCTTTTATAATCTACTTACACAATTCCAGCGTTGGAACGCTCATGGAATTAAGACCGACGACGACATTTATTTATTTATGCTTGACAGTTTTGTTTGTGAAATATTAACCAGACAGACGGTGACCTCAATGACCTCGGTGGCATGCATAATTCTGTCTTGCTGCAGCTTAATGCCATGCTCAGGGAGATCAGTATACTAAATTCAAATTAACGTCAATTATATTTTCATAAGAGCTAAAGCGCACAATTCGTTGCGGCGCGGCACCGCAAGGATTTCCACGTATCGCGCGGCGTCGCGCCCAACAGATATTTTATTTCTATGTAAGATGACGCTGTGACACCGCTCCGGTGTCGCACCATCTCCGCAACGCATCGTGTGCTTTGGCTCTGGAAAGTCTTGTGTATTTAAAATGTTATATTTTAATAAGTCTCGTGTACTATTTCAGGCTTGATTGCTGTTTTCATAGAAGATGGCATTACGTTTCACTGGTAGCCATTTTTGAACGCTGATGTTTATAATAAGTAAATTGTTTGGGTCTGGTTTAACCGAAAGCACGCAGTGCGCAGTGGTTGTACATATTCAACTAATCCATCCATTTTAGTCATAAGGGATTTTCTCTTTGACTGTTTAATGACTTTTATACATACATAGGTATAACACTAGTATAATAATATTATGTGTTCAATATTTGTCCTCAAGAGTACTTATTCTACAATAATAAAATTGTCATATAAGTATTTAAATATTTTTATCTGAACTGGCTGTTCTATCTGGTCTTCTGAGGTACGTCACCTCGCATGCATCAGGCAGCTTGTAATCCCAGATCTGAGCCACTGAGGAGACAAGACATGATGAAAGTAACTGCACGTAGCTCCTGGACTATGCTACCGACGATGTAGATGCAAATTCAAGAATTAGTATTGTTGCTCGGAATATTCACTACAGTTTCAGTTAATTGTCTATGTTTAAAATTCAGGTTACAACACCTACTCAGGGATGGCGAACCTTTATGTATCAACGTGCCACCTTTCTAAATATTTTTTGATTTAGTCATAGACGTGCCATCAAAATAACACCTGATGCTATCAATGGGGTATAGTATCGTACAAGTGACAGGACCTTACTCTACAGTGGCACTAATTGATGAGGGCAAATACGATAGCCCATAATCTAAACACATTATTAACTATTTTATTTTATATTAGGTATAGTAAATTTTGTGATTGGTGGCGTGCCATAAATATTGTGGCGAGTGCCATCGATGGCACGCGTGCCATTGGTTCGCCATCCCTGACGTAGTATAAACGACAATGATATTGCAAATGAATGCAATGCTTTCTTTCTTTTGTGTATCATAAAGATTGCTACGATACAGATTGAGGCATCTTCTGTCACAAGCCCTTACTTTCAGTAACGTTGTACTGGTTATCTATTTCGATTAGAAACTGTAAGCATCTATTGTTTTGTATTTATGCATGTAGCGAATATTGAACTATTAATTATTGTCCAAAATCCAGATCAAGTTGAAAAAAAAGTAAAACTATCATCAATGTAGAGCATCATATTAGATATGTATTTTTTCTAATATTCCTTCATAATTTTGTATTTATCTGTATAATTTCGTTTACATTACAAGCAACTATCCTAAATCCTAATCTTACACTTGAATAACGATTATCTTTTTCTTTCCACAAAAGGAGTATTCCCAAGACGGTACAATACAAGTAAAGCAGTGGCAGTTAAACCGTATAATCAGCTATGTCAAAGCCTGTGAGTCAAACGAGCAGTTTCTTTGCCGGCTGAATGTCAGGGGAGCGCAAAGGACTGCGGTCTATTAAGACGATTTGGATGTTTGTAACAGGGATGGATCTGGAATTTAATTTATAGCCTTTTTCAGGCTGAGCTTTATATTTGAATAAGACTTAGATTAATTTAAATTAGTATTAGTATTACCCAAAACAAATTGAAGGTCAGTTAGATGAAAACCTTAGGATGAAATTATAACAATTCTAAGGGCAGCAATCAAACCCGCATTGTTTCAGATGGTAAATATTTAATGAAATTAGAAGCTAGAGAATAGGTTAGTACTAAATAACTTAAAATATATTACGACCTATACCTGTTTGTGTTTTCTACGAAGTCAAACTTGAAGTGCTATCGTCTGTACATAGGCCCGGGTTTGAAGTTACCATCGCTATAGTCAAATTTAACGTAACCAAGTCCGCTCCTGCTCCTTGCTGGGATTTAAATGTAGTTACACTTTGGGAACTGTTTTTGTATCCTGGATTACAGGAATCATCCTCTAGCTGACAAAGCTGGGAAGAGCAAGCAATGTAATTTAGTCAACGAATAGTTTGTACTTAGCCCCTTACTAATAGGTCACACGCGAAGTGACGTTAATATGAGAATGTTAAACTAGCGTTCATGTATCTTTTTAAAAGTAAGGGGGTTAGTTTAATATGTAGTTGTGAGCATTGGGTATTTAAAGTATACAAAAAATAAGTTCACAAGCAACGGCTTGTAGGTTTGCGATCGGGCACAACGCGCCTTGGACGCTACCAATCAATGTTTTGAGCAAATAAAATAAGTATTTAATTTGATTTGAAATTTTTGGGAGCTCACACAGCTCGCACTTAATTTTAGACGCGTCGATGTTTCTGTATGTTTTACAAGTGTTCACACCTCATAAGAAAAGTTCGCAAGATTTCTCGTTATTGTAATCCAGAACACAATCAAAAAGCAGAATACAGAAACAAACGTAATAACGGTTTCATGCCCCTGTTTGTGCAAACAATATTGTGCAACACCGCCTTGCTCTGGAATTATAATGGCGAAACTTTGGGAATACGACCCCAAACGGGCACAACACAAAGAAAACAAATGAAGTTTTAATTCATGCCCGCACCCACTTCCTTAATTCGGAATTTGGTGTACACGGCTAAAGGTGGTGCTAGGGGGCTGATTTTGTAGAGACTCAATTTTTAGAGACTCAAGGCACAGTTTGCTAATATGTTACTCTTAAGGGTTTTGAGTATTGACTGGATATTAAAGTAACTAATTAGCCCTCTACATAGGTACAGTTTCAGTTTCAGAAATAAAGAGATCCGCAGGAGAACCAAAGTGACCGACATAGCTCGCAGAATTGCTAAAATCAAGTGGCAGTGGGCGGGGCACATAGCTCGTAGAGACGATGGCCGTTGGGGCAGAAAAGTGCTCGAGTGGCGACCACGGGCTGGAAGGCGTAGCGTGAGCAGGCCTCCTACTAGGTGGACCGACGATCTGGTAAAAGTCACGGGAGGAACCTGGATGCGGGCAGAGCAGGACCGTTCATTATGGAAAACCTTGGAGGAGGCCTTTGTCCAGCAGTGGACGTCATTTGGCTGAGTCGACGACGACGACGATAGGTACAGTTAGTTTCAAATAGTTCGTTCGTAGTTTTGTAACAAAACTTTATTCCATTTGTAACAAAGTCATTGGGTGTCACGAACTATTTGACGCTGACTGTACTACACCTACATCGAATGTCAGACACATTCCATCTGGCCAGCATGGGAAAAGTAGATCAAATACGTCTATCACGGGGAGATTGCACAACGTATTTATACCTGTGATTAAATTACACCTGATGATGAAAGGAAAACGACGAAAGCTCGGAACAATAGAACCAAGAATAGCCGAATATTCTATTTTAGCAATTACTTTATTACCTACCTTTCAAAATTACATTAAACGATGAGGATCTATATTTAAATGAAATTTCCAAGTAGCGAACGCTGGCTTTATAAATGCCAAGCTTCGCCTGTCAGCGCTTTGTGCTGACACAACCCTGAGGCTCTCAATCTTTTAGAAAAGCTGTGAGTTTTTAAAAATTAAATATGTAAAGACCTGTTCCCACGTAGACGGTTTATGATTTAGTAGACCAATAGGCATTTGCGTCAAATAAAATAATGAAGTGGACTTTTAGCGTAGGGGCGGGACCACCGACTTTTAGTTAGCCGATAGTTGGGCCCGATACTAATTTGTATGAAGAATCGGCTGATACCAAATCGGTGTAATGTGCGCACTTTCGTACATCTCCATACTGATCAACAGCCCGACCCAACTATCAGCCAACTAAAAATCAGCTTAGAAGAGAAATATTAAAGTTAACACGCTTCTAAAAACGACACTTGTTCCAGCTTAGATCTCTCTTCTTTCTTCTTTTTTTGGTAAGTTTTAGGAACTTAAGAATTGGTTATGGAGTATTGCGTGGAGTTACGCCAAAGCTTGTAAAACATTTAATGCTTCCATAATATTACTCTTTTTGAGAACCAATGACCAACTAAACAGTATTAATGTTCATTATTTGAAGTATCTATCAATACGTCGTATCATAATTTGATATTATTGTTTAATTTACCTCGCGTTCCGTTTGTTATCGATGCCGTTAACAATCGGGATTACATAATTATTTGACAGCCAATAATTTGATAATATTGTTAGTTTATTTGTTCGGTTAGTTTCAACAAGCAATATGGTAGTTAGACATTTGTTTGTAATATCTTAATAGTAATTGACCTAAGAATAAACATTATCTGTTTTAGTTGTAATAAATCGAATTTTTCTTAGTGAGTAATTGGTTAGTTTGGTAAGCTTTAGTTCAATTTTAGTTAAAGTCATATTTTGTAATTGTTTATTGTTCCGATAAAAATAAACTAAACCAATCATTTCAAATCAGAAAGTTGGCGAAAATGCGACGTCATAGCTGGTCTTTCCCATATAAAATATATGGGAGAACCGCGTTTGAGCCTTACCAACTAGCCTTATCTTTCACTACAGCAACCTGCTTAGCAGTATAAATAGATGTCTTTCAGTAATTGAAAACAAGCCCCATAATTCTCCATAAGCCTGGTGTTGGCTGCGTCGAGCCTTCGCTAATGAATTGCTGATGTTAATTGAAATCTAATTGTTCGTCTATTTCAAACTACTGTCCCTTTAGATGTGCGAACTATGTAAATAAAGGATCATTAGTAAGCTTGAAGTCTGAGATTCAGATGGTTTATTTGGGGCTGATTTATTTTATTTGGCCGTCGTTGGATATCTTTTATCTTAAGAAAAAAATTGTCATTTTGCCATATTTGTTATACAGAAACTGGCAATAGACTAATTTTATTCTTAAAGTTATTCGATGGCTGGAAATTCTGCCTTTAGTACTTAAATTCACTTTTTTTGTGAAATGTTATACCTAGTCCATTATTTTTGGTCATATATGCCAATAAATTAGACTACTTAATAGAGACTAAGAATCGACCTTATATAAATAAAAGGAAAAGTTGAATGGAAAACGTAGCACACCTAATGGTTCTCCCTTTAACATTTAAGTAATTGTTTGTTCTATTTCAAGGAATACTAAGAGAATTTCCACTTTTCTGTGGACGGAGCCATTTTCCGCTCATTTTCACTCGGATTCCTCTGCTTTAGTGTAAATTATTTGCTAATAAAGAGTAGTTATAACTTCATAATTTGCTAACTTCTCTAGTTATTTTAAACCCGTTCCTAGAAATAACTTTGTCTTCTAAAATTATATTTGCTAGTAGAATTTCATTAGTTGTCTAAAGGTTATTCGATTTAGAGGTTCTAATATTGATTCTCAGGTGTCTTAAGACTGTCACCTCTGGCGCCTCCAGATATTTTTACATTCAATTTAGTTAGATGCGACTTTGACATGTCCTAAAATAAAATAAAAACTGTGGTTGGTGGGTATAGAAATATAATTAAAACGTTGAACAACCCACACGTTAGATGAAGAATGATTGACATCACTCTAGAAACCCGCAGTTTCCAGTTACAAACATTCACCTATTTGCTCTTCACATCTATGTTGCCAGTTTCAATCCAAGTTCCATTTTGTGGTTACATCTGTGTTGCCATTGTAAACAAAGAGCATGCGCGGGACAGATGTCACGCGCAGATGGACGGATTGTTTTGCGAGTTTCCTTTAATTTCCCATAAAAATAGTTATTGGTAAACACACTTTCCGACACGTGCTGTGTGCTTTATATAAAATAAGGGTGTATGGTAGCGAAGGATTTGGTACCTACCAAAGTTATTTCCTTTGAACGAGAAAGAGGTCTAAATATTTAAATTCGACCAATCTTAGTCTTGAGTCTATGTTTGAGATTGAATTGATTTTTTTATTTTATTTCTCCTCAATTTCTTGAATACTAGCGATTTTAGGACACTTAGGACATACTTACTCGTAGAATAGCATGAAGAGTCGAGAGAAGATAATTCCACGTCCAGACATTCGCTTAAATCTTGAGAACATAAAGGTGCGCCTTTTATTCTATCGTTTTGATTAATTCGTTAAAAGATATTACTCACGTACACTTACGTAAATTCTCATTTTATCAGGTTATATTAAAGCGCTATTGTAGATTTTTTATGATTCTACGAAATCCTGTAAGAGATTTTTATCTCGCCAACCTTTATCAATTTTGGTACAGTGCACAGGATGAAAGCAGTTACGTCACGATTTTATTTCATCATATTATTCGAAGAATTTACTTGTGATTTTACTAAAATCCTTGTGTTTTGGATAATGGAAACTTTTTGAAACGAGATATTTCCGAGAAAGATCTTTCATTATTACAACAGAATTACTACGTCTTCTTAGAACCCTTTCTAAGAATAATATTATCTAATTGTTATTTTATTAAATGGGGATGTTGCCTGGGTCAAAAAGCAAGAGTTTTAATTAGTCCGTCAGTTAACTTATAAAAAAATACTCTACACGTATTTTTCACTTTTTCAAACTAATGAAAATTTAAAGAGATAAAGCGCCCCAAAGTTCATAAGAAGAGGCCCGTGACGTCAACGCTTGCTTAAAAATGCCGCACGTTGTGACGTCGTGCGCAACTTCAACGCACCATAACTATGTAATTATTTGTTAGATTGACAAATAAAAATATATGTGTCCAATATTTTTTGATATTAAACATTACGGACTAAAAAAATTTTTTTAGGCAACTAGCCTATTGTTTCTGTAATTTTGTCTCGCGTCTTCCACCAAACCAATCACAACAATAATTAATCGTCTCAAATTACGCAGAACTTATTTACAGCGAAAAAATGAATAGTCCTTGACATAGAATAAGCTCTGTTTACGTTGGATTTATTTAAATTGTAACAATATTTTATTTATCATTTATCGACACTATAACTAGTCAGTTTGTAAGATAGGAAGGAAAGGATATTTGTTTCTTCTTCATACAAAAAATATTAGGCGGTTTTATGAAAAACTTACAAGCAGAATAGCACATAATATTGGCTATTTTTGGTCAGTCTAATTTTTAACGACGAATTTACGGAACTGCTAATTACTGTGCCATTTCCAATCGTTGTTTTAATTGATCTAAAATTATTTTCGTGTACAGTAAAACGCACATTTTTTATTACTCATTGTCTATATCGTGGGCTATATTATTCATTGTCTACAGCGTGGGCTGCAACTAAATATTATTTATCCTTACCTGTGTAGACAACATGAGTGCCCTCGTGTAGTCGAAGGCGTGGGCAAACCAGGAGTCGTCGCTGGGCCCGCACAGCACCAGCAGGTTGGTGATGCCCAGCAGTGGGATGAGGACTAGCAGCGCCTTTGTGGCCTTGCGGTACTGCTCCGTTTCCAGCGTGTTCGCTGATCGCAGCTTTGTTATTAATACCTTGAAAAACAAAAAAAATAAGCTATTAAGCTAATTCAATTTCTTTATTACAACCCGGTCGAGTTAACTGCGTACCTGGCAGCCGTGACGTCACATCGATGCTCTAGTACGGACAGAGGTGTGCAGGTAAGCGGTAGAGTCGCATTCTAGCGAGGTGCGCAGTTAGCTCTTTTGGGTCGTAGTAAGAGGCCCTTTTCAGAACGCTTAAATACACTTCTCAATATTGGCTTGCCCTACCACCAATTTGGATCAACATACTCGTATTATAGACTGGTGCTAAGGAAAGAACGGTGGAAGAAGCTTAGTCAGTCACGTTTGTCAGCCTTTGTTTAGTAAAGTTCAGTAAACACAATTTACAAGATGTGTGGGTGCGAGCTAGGCAGATAAACATAAATATTTATCCACTTTATATGTAGTATCATTTACTATAATTACCTGTGATCCATAAATACCTAGCTACTAGAGTTTGTGTAAGACGGTACTCGTCAAAAATAATGTTGTGTTACTTTGAACAGCTAGAACATATAACATGGCTTAATTGATTTCAATTGTTCTTGTAATTTGTTGTCAATATTTACATACCTAAGTTGCGTGCAAATAAAGGCCTACCATTTTAAGGGACTCTATATTAGATAAATACATTTAGGGATCGTCATATACCTACTAGTCTGTTTCAAAAGCAGGAGTTTGTTCATACGAGCAATTTTTAAACAATCCAGTACAAAAAACCATTCAGTATTATCACCAAATAAATAGTAGTACTTCAGGATATTGTGTGTATACGTATTCAGGACTTTCAAACTTTTAAATGCTTAATCTATTCAAGTTAGTATGACTAAGGGTGGATTCGATCAAACAAGAGTAAATATAATTCTCAGAATAAATCGCCAGTTTTTACATATTTCCCATACTGAAACTGTCTATGTGTCAGTTATACCAGGAGTTATTCTCGGATAAAAGTTTGGTCGAATCGGGCCTTAGAAGAAAAACTTTGTACAAAGACTTTTAAGTATTTTATTAGTAGTTAAGGATTCAGGATCAAAGGAAAAAAGGTGAGTTAAGTAAAAAATGTAAGACTCGGAAGTTATTACTCTGTCCATTAAGATTTTAATTCAAGTTCTTCTAAACGTAAATTGAAGTTATTACTGGTTAAAAGGAAAATTAATAAATAAAACAAGAAAGCTTTTAAGTGGAACTACAATAGAGCTTGATGAGGTAAGCTCAGCTTTTATAGCACTACTGGCGGCCGCCCGCGACTTCGTACGCGTGGATCCCGTTTTACCCCCTTAGGGGTGGAGTTTCGTAAAATCCTTTCTTAGCGGATGCCTACGTCATAACATCTACCTGCATGCCAAATTTCAGCCGGATCCGTCCAGTGTTTGGGCTGTGCGTTGATAGATCACTATGTCAATCAGTCACCTTTGAGTTATATATATTTAGATTATAGATCTGTTTCTGTACATCTAAACTTATATCATAAATGGAAAAGTACTTAGCTCTGTCTGACTACACCGCTAAACCATTTGTGACCTTAACTTTTTATCAACATTTCATTAAATATTGTAGTTACTATAGTTATGTATTTAAAGTTCATTCTAAATAATAAAAAGTACTAAGTATTACGATAGGGGCCTCATTATGAAGAGCGGACTCAAGCCATCGTCATTAAAAGTTAGTCTCTTTGATAATTATAAATCCATTCAAAAGTTTTGTTTGAATTCTCTTTTAAACTCTGGCACATGCGTTAATTTAAGATATGACTAAAAATATCTTGCTAAGTATGAGGGTCTGAGACTACGAATCTCTAGTAGACTCGACACGACACAAATACATACCTATCTACATACGAGTACCTACTTGTAACAAAAGTTCTAATAAATTTTTTTTTTGTTATACCTACCTGTAGGCCTAAGATGTGCACCGTGATAACTTTTATCGACATCAAAATGTATGGGAAAAATCGATAAAATGGCGTGATAACCGCTTATCACGGCGCGCATCTTAGGCCTACTGGTGTAGTCGACTTATTCTAGTACAAAATCATGAATTAAGTATTCTCATTCATTAAATACTTAGCTATATTATAATTTAGCATTTTGAATGTAAAAATCCGAATTATTCACTGATTCCACTTCTATCCTATTACATACCTTAGAAGATGGTCACATACATACCAACATTTATTTAGCAGTAAAATCGATAAAAAGAGATCTAGGAAATACAACTAAAGAGTCAACTTCTGGATCTGAAGTCGAACTAAATGAGGAATAATAAGTACCGATGAAGCAGTATTGACCGAGATATCTTCCCTTGACGACAGGGAACTTTCTCCGACCCTTCTTTAATAAAACTTCTCTTTCGAGAAATGATACTTTGATTTTTAAATTGTATCGCTCGCCTCGTTAAATGTTTTATTGTAAATTGTTACGAGTGTTCAATTCTTGTGATATTAAAATAAATTATCCTTAATATTTCTCTAAAATCTAGTTTTTGTAGTTTTAAATGAAACATTTTTTTCAATAGGCCAGCGAACGTTATTGTAGTCTAAAATTGTAGATGCTATTTTTTATGTACATTCAGATAATTGGAGTTATTCGATGTAAGTAACCGGCACATGCAAACACCGTTACACAATAAATTGTACCTACAGTTATATTTATTGTTTCTTGTAGCAATTTATGTGCTGTAGGATTCCGGCAGAATAGACTAAGCGACTAACGGTAAAATATGCGAATATCAGGCCAAATTCTCCATTTGCCTTTGTTAAATTAGAGGCAGTGGAGACCATAATCACAATAAAAAGGATGCAAGTATTATGATGATTTTTCCAGCACATTGCGTACTCTTAGATAGACTACTTGCTTACTTTGTCGAGAGAATAAAACGATTAAGACCTAGTTCAGACAGCGATTACCGCGTGGTTTCTGGGTGGTTCTCATTGGCGAGGCACTGAGGACGGTGCGGTTACGATTTGATGCATACGTATGAGAAAGCTGTTCAGTAACCACGCGGTTATCGATAGACATCGACATTCTTTAGCATTTAGTCCTTCTTCAGACGAATAAGGAATGCTAAAGAACTGTAAAATCGAGGTAAATATCGACTTACCCACATAATCCTAATGAGGAAGAACAGGTTGAGAGCCAGCCCCGCCAGCGCCGGCGCCTTGTGGATCCAGTCCACCTGGTGCTCGTGGATCCATAAGCACATCTTCGTGTCCCCCATTATTGCTAACTGTCAACAAATATGTATAAAGTTTTAAAAATTTCAAAAATTTTTTTAGAAAAGTTACATTAAAAATAACCAATTAAACTAACTGTTCGTAGGTAGGTGTGCTTGGAGTTTCCCTGCGTGATCGAATCAGAAATGAGGAGATCCGCAGGAAAATCAAAGTGACCAACATATTCTGCAGAATTTTCAAACTTGAGTGGCAGTGGTAGAGACACAGCTCTTAGAGCTGATGGTCAATGGAGCAGATAAGTTCTCGATTGGCCACCACGGGCCGGAAAACGTCGGTAGGCCGCCCACTGGGCCCTAAACAGTATGTATAACGTATTGGCGACGTTAGGTGTGCTCAATAGCGAGTGCGTTAAAAAATTATATGAAGATTTTAGTTCGTTAAACTCGCAGTCGCTAGCCAGAATACCTAACGTAAACTCATGGTAAGCACACTGAATGCAAATTTGAAGTGACAAATTCTCCATTTCCACAACAATGCAATATGCACAAATAAAGCACTATGATTGTGTTTGCCTCGTATGTTTCCACCACAATGCCGTTGGATATTGGAAGTTCATATCAGTGCATATGTCGCCACTTCAAAGTTATATAACGACTTATTTGAAAAGCTGGGACATTGTGTTGTATCGGAACCGATCGCAGACAGTTCAGCTGATAGTACGTTATGTCTGACTGTGGGTTTATTATTTATTTAAACTTTAAGCCACATAATAACCAAGGCGAAATGAAGTGCCTTAATGCAGAAAATGAGAGTAAACCTACATCATCATCATCATCATCATCATTTCAGCCACAGGACGTCCACTGCTGAACATAGGCCTCCCCCAATGACTTCCACATCGCACGGTTGGTAGCGGCCTGCATCCAGCGCCTTTCCGCTACCTTTTTCAGGTCGTCGGTCCACCTTGTGGGTGGACGTCCCACGCTGCGTTTTCCGGTACGTGGCCTCCATTCCAGAACCTTGCTGCCCCATCGGCCGTCAGTTCTGCGTACTATATGCCCAGCCCACTGCCACTTCAGCTTGCTGATCCGTCGGGCTATGTCAGCGACTTTAGTTCGTTTACGCATCTCCTCATTTCTGATTCGATCTCGTATAGAAACACCGAGCATAGCCCTCTCCATAGCATAACTACCTACATAACACATTACTATTGAAAGTTGGAAATATTGAAAGATGGTAGGTATTATCTCAAATAATAGGTATTCAGACTAATAGAACCAATAATTCTGATATCTACTGAAATTTTAAGACCATCAAAACTTATTTATACCGGTTTTTATGGGCCATTGATATTACCACTTTATTAATAAAAAAATGAACGATACATCGAGACAGCTATAAAATTTTACGACGAACGATATTAAAAACGTGAAATATTTAAACTCCAGAACAAAAACTTTAAAAATACAAAAAATATTTAATGTTTTTATTTAGCCGGTAATAGTGATACCGTTAACCGATAATTCCTAGACAATCAATTTCTCTCCCCATAGTTAGAGGCCTGAAAACTAAATTAGATCTTAATTATTTACAAAAAAGATTTTTATTTGCTCCGACACAAAAAAATGCCTCTGTTTCCATAGGCTATGAATCTAAGGAAGGAAGAAATCTAAGGGAGTATGTATAACGTTTTTACAGATCACAAGTATACCCTATTTGCCTCTCTTATTGTTGTGTTTGTCTTACCGAGGGCAATGTAATAATTCATGCTTGGGATGCATATTAAGCATCGTCTGAGTATGCATAGGTACACTTAGGTGGGATGTGCATTTGAGCATTGTTCTACTAGTGGTTTTTTTGCTTACCCCGTCGGGGTCCGTCGAAGGCACGATGCTGACCAAACACCTGGATATCACCCATACCGTGATGAATACGGCTGGAGCACCTGTGTAAATAAATAAGCCATTAATAATAAGCTCACACCAACGCGAGCAGTTCGCCATCGCCGGCGCGATCATAGGCCAATGACGGGTCGCGCGGACTGTCATGGGTCGCGTTTTTGTAAATAAGCGAAACTTCTGTAATCTACAACCTGATAAATATTTAATTGTTTCAGTGGTTGAGATTTCGACGAGGTCACTCGATTTTGTAACTTTACCTCAAAATATTTTTTTCCTTAGAGTGACAACTACTTCGTTAATTACCAAGCGAAAACGTGTCGATGAAAACTTTGTTAGAATGCCAACAATTTAACAACTTATTTCTATACAAAATAATTAGGGAGGTGACTTTCAACATTCTGAGAGCGCTGTTAAGAAAAGTTTGTTGAATAGTCCTAGTTAATTATTGGTAACTAATACTAAAACTATGGCTTAGGAGAACTAATTTACAAGAGAATTGTTTACTTACCCCAACCAATGGTAGTATAAACTTTTAATTTTATATTTTCTGCTGTGAAAGTTTCTACGACTAGCATGTACAAGTATAGACCTGAAAAAACAAAACTTGTTAACACGAGTATATTAGTTTGGTAACACGAATATATAATTTGGACTTAAAAGCAACAATTTAGTAAAATATCGCAAACATTTTTCTTGTCGAGAAATCAATCATGTACCTACCTAGCTAAATGGTTTTAGGTAATAAGTACGAAGTTTTAGCCTGATCGCTTCCAAATTTTGTTTCAAATTTAAATTATTCAAATCTTTCAATTATAAACTTTATTTTATTTAACAAATTATATTTAAACACAACCTAAAAGGCCAAGATTATGAAGTATGTCTCAAACGTGCTAACAAAAAAAAAATGTTGTTGAAATAAATTGAAACTGGTACGATATCCGACAATTTGAAGTGTAGGTACGCGCTCGTTTATCTGAAAATATTTGTATTCGCGGCGCGCCGCTATTATGGGAGAAATATTTGGGATTTATTCATGGTCAGGCGAGGACCGTATAATTTGGCGGTAAGTGCGCGCTCACGCACACGCGGAGCTTACTGCGGAGTTAAGGTGAAAGCGGATAAATCAATCGAATGAAAACGTATCACCTTTTAGATTCATACGTACTGTTTTATTGGGCGGTGTTTACGCCATTATGAGAGAAATATTTGGGATTTATTCATGGCCAGGCGAGGACCGTATAATTTGGCGGTAAGTGCGCGCTCACGCACACGCGCAGCTTATTGCGGAGCGCGGAGGTAAGGTGTATTATTTTAAGCCTTTTTTCACTCTCTCACATTTGCTTTAGTTAAGGAGAGAGACAGTATTTGAGAGACTAAATTAAGAGTGCACATTTTATAGCACATGGTCATAGCAACGCCACATCAACGCACTGCTGCATTATGACTCTACGTACGGTATAATTATACTGACTAGAACAAAATGCGTATGGGAACCATCTTCGAGCCCTGCTTTGACTTCCGCACTAAGCTCCGCTCGCATGTGTGTGTACTTAGCCTTATTTATATGCCGCGTGTTTGTTCATTGTCTTGCGCTTCTTGGCGGTAATTAAATTTTGCTTGAGGTTGCCATACAAAAGTGAAACAAGGGGTTTGCTTGTCAGGGGCTACAATATACTGTGTTAATGTCCCAAAATTACTTACAGCTTTAACTTTAGAAGAAAAGTAAGTATGACGGATTAGCATTCCAGTAAGAGAGCTTTGTCAAATCTTTTTTAATAATTTGCTTAAGAGTTTTTAAACAGTTTTCCCTACATAGTGTAATATATATATATATATATCTGTGGTGTGACTTCACGCAAAAGACCTATAACGCTCTCAGGGTTCAGTACAACAATGCCTTCAGGATGCTGATGGGGCTACCAAGGTTCTGCAGTGCTTCGACTATGTTCGCGGAAGCGCGTGTGGATGACTTCTACGCTATCATCCGTAAACGAACAGCGTCGATGCTTGCGAGGATACGGGAAAGCACCAACAGCATCCTGTCGGTTATCAAAGATAGGCCATCGTGTCCCATCTTTAAGCACTGGATTAATATTCACTTGCATGGATCCAGAAACCGGTTTTTTGACTGATTTATGTTACTACTAACCTAGTTTTTAAGTATAAGATTGTTACTAACACAATGTATGGATCATAATGGTCTGATAATAAACGTATTATTATTATTATAATATCAAAAATAATTTAACTTTAGAGTTAAGACTTAGTTCAGACTAGTACATTTGCGTCAAACCGTTTACCCGTACGGTTACCGATTCAGCAAAGCGGTTAGCGCCTTAACTGGTGTCTGAACCAAACTTAAGATTAAGATTACAAGTGGTCTGAAATCACCAGAATAAAATTGAATGGCTACTTTAAAGCATAGGTATTTGTAAAAATTTGTGATCTTACCTTCAACTAACATCCAGAAGAAATTAGTGAGATAAAAATAGTGCATACATATCACGAGTATCATACACGACGTTTGTTCATGCTGCGCTTCATCCGACCAATTCTGGAACAAAACATATTTTTATTTATATTTTGGATACACCGTACAGTCAGTGTCAAATAGTTCGTGACACCCAAAGTGGCCAAAAAGTTGACAACACAACCTTATTCCAATTGCAACAAAGACGTGTTGCGAACTTTTACGCTACTTTGGGTGTTACGAACTATTTGACAATAAATACACCGCTCGATAGACTACACAGTTTTATTGCAAAATCCCATCTATTACAACGTAGTTAGACAGATACCACAGTAATATGCCGTCGCGTCTGTACACTAGACCCTTGTTGAAAACTGGGTGAGCCAAAATTCGCCGTAAAGTAATTCGAAACGGAACCATTGAAGCCTTTGAATGAAACATAACACAAATACAGGGTGTCACTTGATAAATCTATTCAATTTAAATCATTTTTTTGTTTTCGTTGAAGTGCTATCGGTTTGCTCTTACTATTATGTGGAAAGTCTATAAATGAATAAAGTTTCTTACTTACACAGTGCATTCAAAAAGATTGATCAAACAATTTTATATCTGTATGCAAACACTTGGAAGTTTTATCCTCATAATAAAGATGAATTAAATAAGTGCTTCCAAAACTTTAAACTACTGTAAAACATTTATCGCCGAAATCTTAACGCTGCAAACAGTGGTTATACTAAACATAAAAACCCAAGTATCAAATAAAAAGATAATGAGTGCTGTTTTACTTTTATTGCTCTAGTAATGTATGTTTTACTGCAGTGGGGAAGCACTACTTTAAACGGATTTTAAAATAATTTCATTTTTTTAAGAGTACTAGGAAAGTAACTAATTTGAAAACTAATTTTTTTAAAAGTGTTAAACATATTATAATACTTACATTCAACGCACATTGCCGCGTGGTTAGTAGCATTTGTGTATTTGTTTCGTACAAATAAATTAATATTTAACACACCGCTTTCTTTTTATTTACGACCTTAATACTCTTTAGGCAAAAAAAAGTCATCTAAATATTTTATCGCAGAAATATTTAATTTATGTCATCCAAAAGAAGGTTTATCTTTCATTCACCCTGTATTTTCATACCCCTATAGAAATAACCACACAGCAAAGCGTTTTTTTGGCTCAACCCAAATGTGAGTTTCGAGCGGGTTTCCCATGTAAAGCGGATTGCAGGAACAAAATATAATCCCAAATGTTGCCGTGCACATGCCATACAAAATTACGCGGCGGCAAAAAGGTTAAGTTAACTGGGAAAATTATTCGCCGCTTTGAAAGTATAATCGGAGCTTTGCATAAAGTGCAGATGGACTTTAAAGTGCTCAGCAGCATTTTACGGTATTATCGGTTTTGTACCTGGGGGGAGGGTAAATATTCAGTTGTTTGGTTGGCAAATAGGAGTCTAAGGTTTAACTTTAACCATAACTATAACCGGTGTTGTTGTGTGAAGTTTGACAGGCTTTTGGCGTTTGTTGTAGTTATGTAAGATAGTGCAACCCAGGGTTAGTACTGTTTTTTATTGTTGTTTTTTAAACTTAGAAAAAGTGCATTTTTAAGGCAATTGTTGTTCAAAGTTAAAGCACTTGTGGGCAAAAAAACTAGTTGAAAATATTTTCTTTAATAATAAAATCTTCTTGAGTGGACTGAATTTTAATTTAGTTGCAAGTTAGTAATTAAAAAGTTTTTAATTAAGTGTGCGCTGTTCTAAACATAATATTAGCTTAGTTTTTAAATAATGTTATTTCAAACTTGTCAAACGAATTAATTTTTCAAATATATTGATGATATTATGTCCCGAACACCAATATACAAGGTGGAAACCATACTTGTGATCTCACTCGATTCTTTCTAAACCAATATAATCTATCAGTTTAATATGTTACCTATTATTGATATCGTTTGATTGAGCTCGTGAAGAACTTTCAGAATTTAACCAGTATTTCGATATCCTGTATAGTTTAGAAATAGTCGAGTGAGATCACTAAATCGTTTCTAACCTGTGTAATTAAATTATATAAAAATATACAGATAATCGTACTTACTTGTAAAGCTAAATTTAATATCCAACTACACGCTGATAAAATATACGTTGACATGAGATTTGTGTGTATTGTGTTTCTTAGACATCTGAGATCCCTGAAACAAACAAAAAAGGCTTAGAAAAACCATTTTTGGTTTAAAAAATACCCAAGATATTTGCACACGAAGGGTTCCCGTATTATCATTACTATTACCGTATATTAAACTTACAAAGGCACTGTAGAAATTAGTTCAAGTAGAATACCGAGATAAAGCGGAGCTTGGACAGTTTTTATTATATATTTTACTGAAGATAAGATAAGAATACTACTACTTTTCACTGTATTTTTAAGTGAGCAAAAATGCTGAGTTGTATATTTTAATCATTTTACTTTCAAAAGATAAGTTTTCTTAAGAGATAAATAGCTGCCTTTTGAAAATTTAAAATGGGTTTCTAACACGGTTCATCTTTAACGGCCATGAGGCAGACGAATAGACAGCGGAGCTCTAATAATAAGGGACCCTTGCACTCTTTGGGCAAGGAACCCCTAAACCCTGAAAGTTAATATTATGGTTCATAACCATTATTTGTTCCATTTTGTCGTAGCAGTAAGTGCCAGCCATTCGGTTAACGTTCGTAAATTGGCTCCGAGTATTAATATTCCTAATACGCGTAATTTGCAAGAACGTAATAAACCAAAGAAAGCTAACGAAAAACAAACAACTTTCAAAGTACAATAAAAACACGACAGAGACAATTTGTAAGTTTGTACGATTTATTTGTTTACATAGAAATGTTGTGATAACCTCAACTAATAATGTTTCTTTACAATTAAGTTTATTTGTTGGCGTTGTTTGATTATAATTTATTGTTAAGCTTGAAATATTGTTTGTCAGCTAACACTAATGATTTGAACTCAGATCATAGAAGGGAATGTCAAAAATCTCTTTCTATGATCTGAGGATTTGAATCATATAAAAAGGTTTTTAATTAATTAAATCCACTTAAACTTACTAACCAGTGTTCTATTTGGAAATTAGTTTGTTTGTTTCTATAATTAGTGATCCCTGCTTTCAAATGAATGTTTCATTCATCTTTGATTTGAATCTTTGATATCTGAAACTTGTAAAATAAGAAATGAAAAATATACATTGCTGAATAACTTATCAACAATTTGTATCCATAATGATGTTTCTGAGATTGCTAATTTCTTCTCTTTCTGGCTTGTTAGACAAGTTATTACATTGCCACCCGATGGTAGAAGAATATAACAATTTAATTCTTAATTATTATAGTTCTTAGCTTTCACATTTTCATCGTCATCTAAAATGTCTCTACGGGGCTAGACAGTAGACACTCATAATTTTTCGAAGTCTATAATACATCTATCTCTTCTACTCAAAGCTAGATGCCGCTATGAAAGATAGTGATGCGAGATCCGATACGGAAGCAGAACCAACAAGACTCAAATTGTCGAGACAACGGAACGTTTCTCGCTACGGTTCGTGAAAATGAAATAGGTACACTGGTACATTTCATTTGTAATTTTAATCTGAAACGTTAAATTATGCGCAAATAAAGGATCACTCGTAGTGTTTGCGGTCTTTATAGCTGTTATTAAATTTGATGACTTATTTAAACTTGTTATTTGTTAAATCACGACGACGATTTTGTAGATTGGGAATGTGAGTGGATCTATACGTTTATACATTTAAGCAGAATTAAACATGTTCAGTTTTTCTGCTTTACTTTCATTTCAACTGACAATAGTATAACTTTGATGCTTGAAAATAAATTTTCATGGACTAGCCTATTCATCTGTGTTGTAAAAACAGGTTTTAAATAATAGGCCAATATTCGTATTATTTTGCAGTAAGTAACAAACACAGTATACGCAGAGTTTACATGTTACTAGGTAATTGATTTTTAATGAAAAAAGCACGTCAACCTTCCTTAAATTAATAAAATAAGCAACACCCCATTCGCCTCGGTTTTCATGCAGATTTGTCTCGTTGAATAACTGAAAATGGTGTCTTTTAAATTGAATTTCCCAAGACGCAAAACATTTTCATCACTGTCAACATTAACCACTCCGAGCTGTCAGCGTGGCGTGGCTTCGATAAGCTTCCTACTCACTGCTGATTGGATTGGGGGATTCGTAACAAAATAATGCGAAATATCTTTGTCAAAACAAAGCTTGGAGTAATTCTGGGTATCAAAGATAACAATAGTCAACAAATGGAATAAACGGATACAAGCCTGCGGCGTTGCTTTTAAGGATTTCAGGCATTTTCAAAAAGTTTTGTTGGTGCGTCTTGTGATAAAAATTAAATATTCCAAATTTACCATGCCGCACTAAGCTAAATAAATGTCTAAGTATATCCTTGTGAGTCCTTGAGTATTGGTTGTTAGTCAGAACCCTACCTTAATGTACTGACATAAAAAATAACACTTAGGTATGTGGTAAAATTCATAAAACTAATTATTTATTTTTGCAAGTAGGCTTTTAAAAAGCACTTTTACATGTCCCAGTATTAACTCTACCACTGCTTCGGGACAATAAATGGGTCAGTGCTGAGAAGAAGCAGCGCAAGAAACTCAGTCACTATTGTGAAATATTATAAACAGCGTACTGCGTTGATTCTTCAAACCTTGCCTTAGGGGACAGTACAAGGTAAAAACAGAACCGTAGGCTTAAAAGGAAAATATTTTTAAACATAAAAGAATTTTTCTTCTCCCTCAATGTCGAAACCATGACGTAATAGAGATTTACGTATTTTATAATGAACCACATTTCATGCTTCCGTGGGCATTTAATTAAATACCTGCGTAATCGTATTCTTTTCGTTTAAGCCCCTGTTTTCTTAGCTGTAACTTATTTTCATAGAAAGCTTTTTGGTGTACCAGAAATAATAGTAAAAATAAAAAGAAAATCTACGAATTTTAAGAAATACTAAAATGCCCCAAAAAACATAAGATTTGTCCTACACTCATCTACATACAAATGAAAAATACCTATATTATGATAAAATCAGTAGTCCTACGCGTTGCGAACTTTTTCGCTTCTTTGGGTGTACATTTGTACCTTTATGCCATAATGGTTTTATACCTTTTTCCAACATGGGCTTTTTAGCGTCTTACGTCATCCATTGTACGTAATCGCTGCGGTGATTTAGAGAAATCTGTCGTTATAGTAAACGACAGCGATCCGTCGAAACGGTCTACACACAAATCGCTTCGCTCCAAATGCCCATATCTAAAGTACCGCTATGAATAACATTATGCCATTGCAAAGGCATTTCAGGGGTACTATTTCTAATAAAAGTGTGGACAACATCTATTAGTTTATTTTAGATTTTCATTTTGCTATTATCAAAAGTCTTTCTTCTTTGCAATTAGACCTTTAAAAGGCACATGTTTACATGTTTCAGCATAAAAATTGCATTACGATCTAGCCATCAATATAACCAGTGCTGAAAAAAACAACACAATAAACAGTAAAAACATTCACTGGCAAAACGTAGATAGGTACTACTCGTATCTACTTGTTTTCCTACTTTTATTATTTTAATATCGTCTTTTAAATCAGTGAATGAGCGAACAACGAATACCTACTTCAGTATCAACCAGTAGATAATTAAGTATACATATAGTATTTCTCCCACTATTTTATACTACAAGAAACTTTAGTTTGAAATTCATTTTCGTGTTGACACAAAGGCCGATGTTGGCTCGTTGAAAAAATGAATGTATGAATGAGCTGCTTTCGCACATATTTCTGTGAAGGACATTTTGCGTGACCCGCATGCCGCGTGCGGTTATTTTTTAAGTCCAAAAGGGATGGCATCCTTTGTGAACCATAAGCGGTCTTTTGTGATAGTTTTTCGCGGATTATAAAGGTTTCTGTGATAGGATTTAACTTTATGAAGGTATCTGTTTGACTACATTTACATCATAATATCAGGTGAAATTTCACCTGTAAATGTAAATGCAGCCTGGGATGGTACACAGAAATGTACCAGATAAAGGTCCAGTACATTTTGTTTGTGGAAGACATTAGCAGTTAAATCCAGTCTCTAGCTGTTAAATTCAGTCCTTAGCTGCGAACGTGGGAGGTGGATGGTAAATTACCCTACAACTATTTGCTGCATTTTTCATTAAAAAATAGACTTGAAAATCCAAATCACTTTCAGGTAGATCTTTAGTTTCAGTAATTTACAATGAACCTATTCCATTTGATAATAAGATCATAGATTTTTTCTTTCAAAACACAAATGAGAAGGAAATAAGCAGTTGATTTGACGTACTATACCTTCCTACGCAGATACGTAAGGTTCGTAAAGATAAGGTTATGGTTATGACGTCTGTGAGTAAATAAAATGACGCATAGGACACTGTTCATTCAACGACTACCGATTTGTTCGTGTCCACTCCGTAAACCGATTCTATGTTGCTCTATCTCCCATGGGGAGAAAAAGGACGAGGCGACGAAATAGGTTATGTCAAGAAACCCCTTGTTTGAATTCCAACCTTTTATGATGTATTTATAAGATACATTTCAAGGGAATTACCAAATTAGTTAATTCTTAAAGCTGGTAAAAACCAACACCAAATAAAATTATTGTCTTTGTAAAATGTTTGCACCATGTTTTAAGCGAATAAACATTCTATTCTTTTCTAAGATGTAATCATTCAGACTAGGATAAGATTTCCTTGCAAAAAAACTCTTATTTCAACTCGATAAGAACACAGTATCGAGCTTGATATGCAGTCCATACGAGGTTAATAGACGCTTGAGGGTATTCCATTGACCGGTACACCAGAGCCAACGATGTGCACTGAGCTGGGAGTAATCGCGCTATTTGAAGTCATCAGAGCAGGGCCTTTGTGACGGAGATATCCAATGTTTTAAGCTATCCAGAGCCGTATTATCTAAGTTCACAATCTAACTCAGTTCCTTTGGATTTGACGTTTGAAAATTCACATTGTACTTCTTGAAACTCGGTTACAATGTTTTTTTTTCAAATCAGGAGGATAATGAGGCTGGGGACGTCGATTTGGATGTGCCGTGCAATTAGGAAAATAGCGGTTAACAATTTGGCTGCTGATGTAGTGGACACATTGGCTATTTGCTCCGTGCAGTTGGCGTAGTTGGCTCAAATAATTAATTATATTAGTTGAAATGCTTACTTAAAGTATAAAAAGACAAAGACTGTGAGCGACAGCACGGCCAGGCTCAGCGAGTAGCCGCTCAGGTAAATAAGGCTGGTGACGTCGGTGGGGGACATGTTGGCTATTCGCTCTGCGTAGTTGACGTATTTGTATTATCATGACATTTTGTTCTGCAAATAAACTTATTTGATTTGATTTTGATTTGATTTGGCTTAAATATATTGGTTCAAATATACTTACTTAAAGTATAAAAAGACGAAGACTGCCAGCGACAGCACGGCCAGGCTCAGCGAGTAGCCGCTCAGGTAGATGAGGCTGGTGACGTCGGTGGGGGACACGTTGGCTATTCGCTCCGTGTAGTTGGCGTAGTTGGCTCAAATATATTGGATCAAACATACTTACTTAAAGTAAAAAAAGACGAAGACTGCCAGCGACAGCACGGCCAGGCTCAGCGAGTAGCCGCTCAGGTAGATGAAGCTAGTGACGTTGGTGTCAAGTTGACTATTCGCTCCGCGTAGTTGACGTATTTGGCTTAAATATATTGGTTCAAATATACTTACTTAAAGTATAAAAAGACGAAGACTGCCAGCGACAGCACGGCCAGGCTTAGCGAGTAGCCGCTCAGGTAGATGAGGCTGGTGACGTCGGTGGGGGACACGTTGGCTATTCGCTCCGTGCAGTTGGCGTAGTTGGTGTAGTTCTGCCACTCGCCGTCGAGACAGAGGCGGGTCGCGTTTTCTGTAATGATTGAACATTGTTACAGATTAGTTAAAGTGGGTAAAAATGATATTTTTCGTAATGATTGGCGCCACTGTCTTAGCCAATAACGAGTGACAGGCCCTTGGTGTTTAGAAGCGCCAGGAGTTTAGGAGTAAGCGTTAAATAGATAAATAAATAAATAAATATCCTTGGACATTTTACACTGCGCCGCTAGCCCGAAACTAAGCAAAGCTTGTACTATGGATACTAGACAACGGATATAAACATACTTGAATACCTTTTTTTTAATACATACATAATATACATACATAGAAAACACCCAGACCCAGATGGTAGCTCATCATGCAACCTATACTTATCTTATTGTCATTGACTCTTGTAAGTGTTTAAAAGTAGATACTTAGTTGGTAAATTAATATAAGTATTGTTTGCACAGCGCATTTGTATCCGCAGCCTTAGCATTCATGTCAAAAACATGGTCAACCTACTTAATATGAAAATATTTTATGCTTACACAAAAATATGACGCTAGATTTACTTAAAATTTTAGAGGTCACGTCAATGTTAATATTTTATTGCAAAACTCGTTCTCAAAGTTCCTTCCAAATCTGTGCCTTAGTTTTTTGCGTGAGGGATGACCAAATTCATCTGCAAAATCTTTCGCATTAACAATGTTATATACTTAGACTATAACAAAATTAGTCCGTATGCACAAAATCCCATGTGACTCGGATATCTTGGATGGATTAGCAACCGGACCGGACATGCCAAATTCCCGGTGGAAAAGCTCATTGACTATTTCTTTTGGAAGCAAAGTATTAGTTTTTATATATTGGAAAGTATATATACTGTTGACGTCGATGGGGGACACATTGGCTATTAGCTCCGTGCAGTTGACGTAGTTGGAGTAGTTCTGCCACTCGCCGTTGAGACAGAGACGGGTCGCGTTTTCTGTAATGATTGAACATTGTTACAAATTAACAGGTATCGGTAGGCAAAGATGACATTCTTCTTACTCGTTGGCGCTAGTGTCTCAGCAACCTGCAAGTGACAGCACCTTGGTTTACAGATGCACCAACTTAACACGGTAGCTCTTCTTAAAATGAATTCCTATGAAATGTCATTGACTCTTGTGATTACTTAAAAATAGTTGGTAAACTAATTTAAAATATGTATTATTGGCACAGCTCATTTATTATCCGCAGCCTTAGCATTCATATCAAAAACATGGTAAACATACTTAATACCTATTGCCTAACTTGAATTTACTGCTTACACAAGTATGACTTGCAAAATACCTTTAATATAATAGGGTTACAAGATTTACTTAAAATTTTAGAGGTCACGTCAAAGTTTTAAAATATACTCAACATCAAATTAACCGCACCTTCCGCGACGCGAACATTAACGATTTTCTTCTGACACAATCATGGTGCCCCAACAATATTGGTGTTATTTGAAAGCCCAATAAATATCCTTAAAGAAAAACACATTTAATTTCTTAATAAATGATTAACATATACCATAAATGTGACTTGAAAAAATACCTCACTTTGGGCCCACCTATGGGATCAATTAGACCAATTTTTATGGTTATAAAACCAAATAATGATTTCACGTGTCCTCTTTAACAGATAGATAGCAATTAAACCCAACTTAACAGTTTTATAGCCATAAAAGTTGGCTCTAGCGTAACTACCTATTTTTTGAAGAAGTGACTCTGGATCCTTCTAAAGACACATTTTTGGGGTAAAAACCTTTCCTTTAATGAAATGAATGTTAGAACTAGGCTTTTAAATGGTATCAATATTGGTGGGAAGTGGGGATGCATACGTTTGAAAATGCTTGTCGCGGGAGGTGCGATTTATTTGACGTCGAGTGTATTATTGCAAAAATAGTCCTCAAAGTTCCTTCCAAATCAGTCCCTTAGTTTTTTGCGTGAGGGAGGAACAAAAATCTATCTGCACAAAGGCACTAACAATATTAGTATAGATTATCTGGCTTTCTATACAGGGTGGCCAGGGAGTTGACGTTCAAAGCTAAAATTTAGATTCCTTACATCAAGGTGTATCTAAATCACCCCCATGTATGTTCTACGATTTTGCTTAGTTTAGGAGATAAAAGTTAATTTTGTGGTTTTTAATTTTTATTCTCACTTTGGCGAGCACTTGCAGTTTGTTTTTACTTACTTACTCTAGAGACTTTCCAAAGAGTCAACTCCCTGGCCACCCTGTATGACTATTATAACAAAATTAGTCCGTGTGTACAAAATCCCACGCGACTCGGATGTCTTCAGCAACCGGACCGGACATGCTGAATTCCCGGTGGAAATGCTCCGGAAATATAAGCGAGAGCCGGTCAACCGGAATTTATTATCCGGGTGAACTTTTTGGATTTGAATTTGAATGAACTTTGGAACGGTTTCAGATTTACGGGGGAATGATGATGTCAGCGTTATTAATTCTCATCTGCATCGTCATGTTAATAAAGCTCAAAATTGGTTGCACTAAATTGCTTTCAGATACCTACCTTAAATCAAACGCATAGGTATGATATTTTATTGCTTTGACCTTGGACAATTGTTCTTTTATTCTTTGACCGGATAATTTATGAGACAAGGCATCTCAGAGGGCGTAGTGGCGTAGTTTATTATGACGTTGGTATAATCAAATCACATTTATTTCGCTCCTAATTATTATATTATTCAGTAGATAGTTTTTATGATTATGAGGGAATGATATTTATTTGTATAACTTGATATTATTATTACGTAGGTTGACTTACAAAACTGATGTGTTAGTTGATAAAAGCATAATTTTAATGTTTCTAGCCAAACTTTTGTATCTTGAATCAAAGATAGGAAGGTGATTATTTTTTTCAAACATCTGCAATTAATAACAAATCTGTCGAAAAAAAGAAATCTGAAAAAAGTCAACCCAAAAAAAAGATAAAAATGTTTAAAGCCTACTAGGTCATAAAATTTTAAATTATCACAAAATTAACTCTATCTCCCAAACTAAGCACAATCGTATTATACTATACATGGGGGTGATTTAGGTACACCTTGATGTAAGGAATCTAAATTTTTCTTTTAGACCTCACTGTTTTGTCCACCCTGTATAACAAAAAGTAGTGGCTATAATATCATGGGATGGTTATTTTTTCATAACAAAACTCATTGCTTTTATTAAAATAGGGCTGAGGTACCTCTCATTAACTCGCGGATTATGTACTGATGTAAAATGGTAAAGTAGTTTCATAAATAAACAATTATCAGATCTGCGCTCATCAATCTCTAGCATATCAGATTATACATCTTCATTGTATTATCGTACTTATTACGACTACATAAGATCCAAAAACTTGATGTATTTTGTACGTTTAATTCGAATATATAAAGGATATTAATTTTGATCGGAATCTGGGATTAACAATTTTCCGGATGATTTTCCTGGATCATTATGCAAGCATCAACAAACTTAATGATATTTTAAGTAATGAATAATAATTTCGGAGCACGTTGACACGGTTATTGGGGCAAACAAGTATAATGGCGGTTCATAAAACCTTCACAATATTTGAGATAGGGATGGAGAGAGAAAGGATCATAGAAGCTGCTTATAAGAGTACTACAAACATAATGTGTTTTTGTTATCATTGGATAGGTAGATATTAAACTATTGCACAAAATAGCACAATAGTATTCTACATAGGCATAAGTACATAAAACGAAATATTCATCATTATGAACATCAGTACTTGTGAACATAAGGGATATGATTTGTATCAGTCTAAATTAGTAAATTCTATTAAGGCATCCACGCCTTAATAGAATTTACTATATGTGTATAGTGATGTAAATTCTTTATTGTTTTCCTCCAACTTGTGCTGTTATTCTTTCTTTTGTTTTAGTTATCTCCCAAATAAAAACTAATAAAAACTCAATACTTATGTACACACGTGGTTATATACGGTAGCGGATATTGAGTATTGGGCTATCAAGCCACATTGCACGGAACAATGCACATTTCCATTTCCACAAAATGATTTATTTATTAGAATTCCATTACAGAATACAAAAATAGAACTAAATATTATGGTTATTTATTTGATTTCCCATTAGTACTTAAATTGTGAAAAAATTGAATGATCAAACGAACTTACCAAGTGAAGTTCGATCTAAATTATCCTGTTTTCGCCGAAGAGATTTATTTTACCATGTAGTACCCCTGTACGACAAGCCAATCCGCACACAATATTCAGCGCAGTAGTAGTAAAAAACAAAAGAGCGGGAAACCCCACCCCTACCACGCTGTGGGCTCGGTGTCCGAGCGGTCTCATTATATTTAGAGAAGAGATGACATTGACGTTTACCTCCAGGGAAGAAGATATAGAAATCTTCGGGTTGGGAGGGACCTTAAATCTCTTCGGCGAAAACAGGATAATTTAGATCGAACTTCACTTGGTAAGTTCGTTTGATCATTCAATCTGGGTAACATCTCGCATTACCTCGGAGCAAAAAATGGCTACTGGTTAACATCGCGCGTTAACTTGGAGCTAAAAATGGGTCAAAGTTACGCGTCGTGTCACAACGCAACGCTTATAATAAAAATGTACGAGCACTTACACAAAATAGTTGTTACAACCAACCTTG